GTGGTGGTAAGGTCTCGCTTGGATTCCTGCGACCACTGCCATTTTTACTCTTTCGTAGCATACGCGATGTCTGCACCCTCTTCGACGGAGTACTCTTTTCCGTACCCTCTCCTCGCCACACTGTGTCTCTCCGTCATACCACCGTTGATGTTCACAAGAGAAGGAAGTCCCTAACCTCAGCATTTCCACTGGTTCTGTTTGTTTTTTTTTTCTCACTGCGCTTCTTATTGAACCGCTTTTTCCTTAACCAAACGAGACAACACGTCACTTCGATCGCGGTCACCGCCCTTAAGTCGCAAAAAATCGAATCAGAGTTATTCCGGAGGGAACATCGTTCCAAAAAGACTTTAGGAAATTCGTCCTGTTGTGGAATTCCACTCAAAAATACCGACGTAATTTGCATCGCCCACGTCAGTGTTAGGCCTCTTATGCGCTTTTCAGAATAAATTCCCTTCGAATAGCCACAAATTGCTTTATCAACTGCTTTCGAAAAGACGTCACGACGCCTTGCTTTATTCAACTCGATTTTCGAGGGAACTCTTTTGTTATGAGCGCTGCCATGAACGAGTAAGAAGTTTCTGAAGAGAAACTATCTACTCTTCTCTGTCTGTGACTCACTGTCATAAAATGAACATGAACGCCTGCTGCACAATACAAAGTCTTACTCTGACATGAGCTTCATGACAGCAGTTCTCCCACTTCTTCGCCCTACCCTACCCCCCCCCCCTCCGTATAAGGGACTCTGCTGTGGTATAGAAAGTAAATCTTTTTCGAATAATACCGAATGAGCACTAGATATTTATAGCTTAAACCCGTGAACACCTCACGTATTCACCTCACCTTTGTGAACGCGCTTGCATCGCACCTTGCTCGTACCCTTCCTTCAAAAAGGAAAGCGTCGGGTGCAGACCATACACCACAAGTGACGACGGCCTCCAAGTAAATCTGGTTAGTAGTGGTTCATAGTGATAGCTGATTTTTGGTAAATGATAGTTGTAATTAGTGACAACTGATAGAATACAACTGCAACAGGCTAATCATTTCATTGGCAGAAAACATTTACATTTTGTGGAGGCCACTTGTGGTGTATGGTCTGCACCCGACGCTTTTCTCGTTTTTTGAAAAAGAGTATACCTGCGCTTGCTCGTTGAGGCGAACCCCACCCTCAATTCTGTTTCGTCTGTTTCTTGGGTTCGTGCATAGCTCAGGAAAGAGAATCGCTACCAACGACAACTCTTCTCAATTTTTTTATTGGCGATCCCTTCGCACTTCCAACTTCATCAAGCAAATCCTTGTTGGGAGCTTGACCATGGTCAAATTTCCACGACACATGGCTCGCCCTAATTATCGGTACCAAAGCCAAACTCAAACGTTCAGTTCCCTCCGTTTCTAAGTTCTGAGAACACCGACACTTTTCCTTGTCGATGGTCATGCAGGTGAAGTACTAATGACTTATATCGTTCGAAACGTTTACAGAACTGATCACAACGCGGACTGCGGACCGTCTGGCTTGCGAACCTTTTTTTCCGTCTTCCTGCCTTGCCGGAAAATTCTCCGACTTCTGTCTGGTTGAGCCTCATCCAGCATACCTCTTCCAACAACTGCCTTGACTTAGCCTAGCTTCGTCATCCTTCATGGGAAAAAACGTTAAAAGCAGTTGAGCGCATGAGCGCATGGGCGGTATGACCGGAATGCTCGCCCTTTCCTCTAGCTTGCTCGCGAAAGGGTTTTATTCCACCAACCTAATCCTGGCCTTCAAGCAATGCCTTAATAAGGCAAGCCTCGTTATGAGTGCGGCTGCTCAATATCTGAGTAAAGTTCATAACTACTCGTTCACTTTCAATCATACCAAAAAAATCCTATCTACATTTCAGCAAGCAATAATGGTCGGTGACACGATAGCGGACCTGAAAATGGGCCGAGTAGCGGGCCTACGGGCCAGTGTAGGCGTGTTGACTGGCGTTGGCAATCGGGACACTCTCAAGGAGTACAGCGACTATTTTGTAAGTATAAACTTCCTTGGAAAGCTTTTTATTTTATGTGATGACGTCATTTCCAGCTTGACAACGTCAGTGAATTGCCATTACTGATAGCGACAAAGATCAACCAGAACACCAAAAGAGGCTAGCTAGGAAATCGTCGAGTCACCAGTTTCACTCCGCCGTCGTACTCCACTACTCTATTCTACTGACCCCAGCCGTAATTACTAACTCTTGCCGCTGACCAAACCCATGGTCTACCTATTTATCGGAATCACTGACCCCTACTAACCCTGCCAGGGATATGCCTAACGAAAACATTATTCTAAAAAACTCGGGTTTAATTTCGTGCTAAAATTTTCACCACTCACTTCACCTCTTACAATTAGACCGAAAGCCTAGAAAATCTGGCATTTTGCATGTCCCTGGCGAACTGATCTCTAACTACGTCGTATTACTAAACTGCTGAAACTGGTCCCAGATGTTACCCGAGTGAATTTGTGCATTTGTTCGTAGTTTCTCGTTCCGGTGTCTCTTTAAGTATCACTAGCCCGGCTGGGTATGTGTGAAGGGTACACGCCGTGTATCTACGCGCCACGAAATGCGCGCAAGAGGTAGCCAGAGACCTTGGAATCGCGTGCTTTTTCCTGCCCACGCCTGCGCACTCTTGCTGGTGTGCCCTGACTATTGCATCCAGTACCGAGTCGCAACTTGTCCTTTACCATTTCGCGGCAGGTCTGCCTGGATGGCATGCCATTTTCTGCCATGATAGGCTAGAGTGCAGAAGCAAGAGAGCACAGGCGAAATTGTAAAGTGACGTGTTATAAAAGGAGTGGACTAATTTAGCTCATTTTGTCGCGTGCGGACACGACGCGTGTACTTTTGGCACATGCCCACCTCAACTAACCCAGTCCAGGAAGGCTCCGGGCCGCAGTCAGAAAGCTCGGCGCAAAATGGAGACTGATCTGTTACCTTGGAGGAGAAGTATCTTGTAATGCGGAGAATTTGGATTGTGAAACTGTCATAAGTTGTGTTGGTGGTCGGTGATAGTTAGCCAGTTTGACATGATCGTGTATGCTGTAGCTGTATCGAGTGGACAGGTGGCACGGGAGGGTTGCCGAGGGCCGCGGGGCCCAAGCGTCGATGTTTTCTAATGTTGCTCGCGGGGAGGGTTGAGTGTGGTTTGAGACAGTGCTACTTCACTTCAGTAGTTCGGCCCTTGTCGATATTGTTGTAAGCATCATATGAGTAGGGTTTACCGGTCGAATATTAGCGGAATTTCGCTCGAATTCGATGTTTTATTGTGTTTGAATGAAATTCGCATTTTTACCTGATATTCGTATTTATGATTACGGTAACTAATTGTACATATAAGGAATTAGTGTGCCATTCACAGCAATATAAATGAGTCATGAAGTGATGATGTCGTAATTTTGTGTAAAAAACGATTTAGCAGATGAAAGTTTCACACTGATCCCAGACTACAATCATAACATCGATTACGGAGGAAACAACTTGTTATTCGTCGCGTTGTGGGGTACTCGGTGCACGGGACTTCACAAATTGAAAGTTCTGAAGCACTTCCCTTATTGCATAGGAATAAAAAGGGTTTGCTAAGATAGAAGCCTTCAACTTCAGGACGAATTTGGAAGATTAAAGGCTTTTTCATGCGGAGATTTCGATGGTCGAGTCTGCGAGCAGGCCACACAGGGTGCAATAAGAAAGAATTTGCTCAGTCCAGATGATTAGCACATTTTGCGCGAAGCTCAGAGCCGACAGGTCAATTATTATTGAGAGGTGATTCCATTCTTAAGAAAACTTCAAAATGGCACCTAGTGGACCGCGATCAGGAGAATTTGCTTGGAAACTGGTCATGGTCTGATCTTCAT